AAGTGTAAAGAATAATGAGTGAAGGGCAACATGAGACTAAAGATGTCAAGATGAAAATTGAAAGCATATCAAGTTGTCATGGCTGTAGGACTTTGGTGTGGGCTAGCTGGTTCAGAGGCATAGGGTCCTGCTGATCTTGAGTTTCCTGTCTCTGGAAGGATTCACAATAAACTGGGGGCTACTTCCTTGGAACGCCGCACACAAACACACGTACACGTGTGTATGTGCCCGCATGTATACACATATACAGCTATGTTTATATATATCAATACACAAACAGATAAATAGGATAATTTTATATAGTGATAAGAGCTACTAAGAATATAAAATAGATAATATGATGGAAAACAACAGTGGCAGGGTGGAAGGAGGAGATTAACTTTGCTCAGGGTGGTCAGGCAGGGTTTCTGTGGAGAAGACATTTGAACTGATACTTGAAAGATAGAAAGAAAGCAGCACTAAGCAGAGCTGAAGAAATAATGTGGCAAGCAAAGGTACATATTTTGATATTTTATTGTTAATATCTTGCTAGTTCCCTTTGGTTGTGTGTGTGCACATGTATGCGAATTATGAAGGTAATAAGAGTGGAAGTATAGAAATCCTGAGGAACCAAAGATAGGTAAGTACAGAAGCCAAAACTATTTCAAAGATTGGACCCAAGAGTTTTGCAGAAGGATTTAAGAAAGACATGAGACTCTTGTATTTATCGAGAATGAAATTAGATGATTTTTCTTGTACTGGGTCTGAGGAATAAATAGTTTCCTAACTAACCTGGAAAAGTTTGGATACTTTTGTCAAGTTAAAAAAGCTAAGCAAGAATAGTGAGAATAATTCAAGATAAGAATTTCTTATATTCTAGAATTTTAAAAAAATTTGAAGGGTTAAATTCATTAGCACAAGCTGGGCACTTCTGCGAGTGGAACATTGATTTGTGAGCATGACAATTTTTTTTTTTTTCTGTTAAAAGAGGTGACAGGAAAAGGGCACAGCTCAGATCTCTGTGAAAATGACCGAGCTGTGCACATGCTGGAGCACATGTTGTCTTGGTCCTGAGGGAGACATGAAGAGGTGAAACACGTTCAGTCATGCAGGCTTTGCAAATATACACAGAGAGCTAGAACAGCTAAGAGCAAAGAAAAGTGAGAGAGCAGGGAATAGGGGGAGAGAAAACAGGGATAACAGAGTGTATGGTAGCATGCTAGGGTAGGACTTAAGAGAAAGAACAGAGAGAGAAGAGATACAGGTAGAGTCCTGTAGCACATGACTTGGGAAAGAATATTTAAACCATAAACTTGGGATATGTATGAATAAATTATGAATTTATTAAGAGATATATGGATAAAACTTACTAAGAGCTGCACATTTATCACACGATCCAGCCATGATCAGCACGAACCTGCAAATGTCCTGTGTGATGTTACCTTTCAGTAATCAAAAGTGTCATAGTCTCTCCTCTTCCAAATCTATGCCCCTTCTCCCCATGTTTCTTTCCTGTGAAAATGGCAGAAACTCATCCAGCTTGTGATGCACTCTCACATATTTCCAAGGTCTATCTTTATTCTTCTTTATTTCTTTTTTTGATCGATAGCCCTCAAAATGCTTGCCCACTGTAGTTCAAATCTCTTTGGAAAGGGTTGCTGGGGTTTTATTTTTGAGAAATGTTTAAATGGTATTTACATGATATACTACGTGGCATTCATGTTGCTTTCAGAGTTCAACAACTGCAACTTCAGTCAAATAATCTCTTTTCAATGTCATATATCTGCAAATTTGAATTCCAGGATAGCCATTTGATGCAGTGAAATTAAGCAGTAATTGAAGTGGATATGAGCTACTTCAGCAAAAAGGTTTTATTTTGGTGTATTTTTAGGGCTTGGTACAACACACTGATACAAAAATACTAAATCACCAGAAAAAAAATCAGTAGTATTGTAAAATATGCGAGAAGGGAGAAAAGAACAAAGGACTTTTCTCCAATCAAATGCAAATGAAAATGACCTGCAAGATTGTGAAAACCGTCTTTCTCCTGACAATGAACATTTTCATGCAGTGAAATCCGTTTTTGAGACTCATTAGCAAACGCTGTGATCTTGCTTATTTTCTATAGCGTCTGGTTATTCCAAATTGATTAGGAGACCTCTGATGTGGGAGAGTGAATCACAGAACTACCCCAGGTATTTCTGTAATTGGTTATCATGCTTAATTACAAATGTTTCAGCACAACCAATTTATTCTGGGCCAGATTTCCCTTGCCTTTCTGCTGCTGATCTTGCTGGTGCTGTTTTCTGTTTTCAGAGAAAGAAAGGAGAAGAAAGACAAATTAAGCACCTCCTATGTATGCTTTGATTCTGAAAACAGCAGATTAATAGATTGATGGATTCATTCAAAGTATCCTATTGAAAATAGTAGTTGAAAATGAGTGAAATGAAAACATGTATATATTCGTTTGTAGAGGGAGGTCATTCACTGGGAACTGTTACCAATCTCTTCTGGTTGCATTATTTCCATTAATTAGTGCTGGGAACTGGACGTTCAGCTCTTGCATCTCTCTCCTCCTGCCCTAGTGCTGGCTGACCTTCATGTATTCAATCCACTTGCTCCTGAGCTCATCAGAAATAAATGGACTAGAATGGCAGAGAATATGACTCCATATAGTGCTATTCATAGTCTGGCAGTCCTGAAGACCAGAGCACGTGGCGAGTTGTGCTGGTGTCCCATGCTGCAGACGGGGCACACATTATATCCTCTGTTGTCTCTCAGCCACAGCCTGGGGAAATTCAGAATCAAATAATGAGAGGTGGGACCCTGGCGAGGGTCCTAGTGTCGTGACACCTGTTTCAGCAGGATCAGTGAGGATCTATACAAACCTTGCAGCCCCTAAGGGAGATAGCAAGAACCTGTCTTTAAGATTCTGTGATCAGAATGGGGATTTAAGAAAATGTGGGTGTTTTTTCAGGCCATCCCTGCTGAAAACTGCTCATCACTGAGGGAGTTGCTACCTGTTAAGAAGTGTCAGCTTACTAGTGCTATGGCAGATATTTTGGCACAAAAGCAAAACACATATCGTGTGATGCAAACTTTGACTTTAGGATTTTCAAATGTTATCATTGTTGCTATTATTATCTGAGAAGTTGAAGGGAACCTTCAAATAAAGTGAATTTTTAAAAATCTGTACTGCTAAAGAATAGGAAGGGTTAAATTTGAACTAGGTTGATTCCCCATGGGTGAAACTTGCAGAATATTTGTAAGAAATTAAAAAAACAAGCAAACAATAAGACACTGGTGCTGGGTCTTTGAAATAATTTAGGCTAACTTATTTATTTTTCAGATGACAGAGATCAAGAGAAGTAGAGTGACTTTTTTCGAGGTTAGTGACAGAACTGACACCAGAATCTAGCTCTACGTCAGGTGTAGAACATGCCTGATAGAAAAAAGTTTCCTGTTTTCTCTGTTTTTCTGTTTTCCCCAAAAGTGGTATCCTCCTTATGTAAGGAATTTTCTGTCCTTATAGAATGATTTCATCCTGTTTCTGTCTTTGAAATAATTTAGGCTACTTATTTATTTTTCAGATGATAGAGATCAAGAGAAGTCGAATGACTTTTTTCAAGGTTAGTTAGTGACAGAACTGAGACCAGAATCTAGCGCTATTTCAGGTGTAGAACATACCTGATAGAAAAAATTTCCTGTTTTCCCAAAAACTGGTATCCTCCTTATGTCAAGAATTTTCTGTCCTTATAGAATGATTTCATTCTGCTTTTGTCATGACAATACACAAGAATTGCTGGTAATAACAGAGTACAATAAAGAGTGACATTTTCCATTTTTCAAAATTCATCACAACATCTAATGAAACTGATTGCTGAAATTTGAGTACATAGAGAAGCTACTTTTCTTCTGTGGCAAAGATATCTGTTTTACAGTTCTCAGGATTTACTATCAGCACCTCCGTAAACTTCTGCGCATGATTATTTAGGGTGAGAATTAATTTTGAGAAAAGTAGCCATTGGCAACGTTCAGATAAATGTGTGAGAAAAACATTCCAAATGGGGGTTTTATAGTCACCGAAGGAAACGAACGCTCTTCTGCTATATTAGAGCTGCCAAAAGAATTCAGAACTCAAAAGATCCAAATGACAGCAAAGCAGATTGAAGCTGCTCTTCTCTCCACGTTCTCTTTTCTTTATGCATTCAGGGCTGTGCATCAAGAAAACTTATATGCGAGGGGTGCAGAACTGATCCAATTATACAGAGCTCCAGCTAATGTCTGACGCTTTAAGTACTTTTCAGAATTTTTGTAGATCGCTATAGAGCCACCTCTCAATTTCTCAAAGTAATGAGAAAAGCCTCAGAATACATTACCCCAAACCCCATAGAATGAAGTAATTAGCATTCATTACCAATTTTATTTCAATGGCTAATTGCACTTCACACTCATATATTGGTACAAAACACTGGACAGTCAAGTAGCTTCTATGATCATTTATTATATGAATACAGAAGGGAAGTTTTACTGCTCCAAAGAGTCTGCAAAAATTTGCACACAGTTTGATAGAGTGCTGTGATCCATTCAAAACTAGACCTGAGCACTGGTGAGTGGAATGGGGCTGGGGCTGGGAGGACAATCTTGATGGCTAGGATAGGTACCCATTAAATTGGAGAGGTGAATGGAGCAGGGAAGGGGTGGCCATGGGTGAAGGTGATAGTGGTGCCATTCTTATGCATATGTGTGCGTTCTGACACCTAGGGGTGCCTCAATGGGGATCAGCAAAGATGCCAGACACTTTGGCCATGAGTGCCTACTGAGAATGCAAACAGAGAGACTTTCTATTTGAGCGACATACTTTTGATTTTTCTGCTCTGACTTTCAGGAGGCAGAAGACTCTGGTAACCTTTGTTTGAAAATACCAGAGTGCTGCAGATGTACATGAAATTAATTCTTATCTTATTCTTGACTCACTTTCATTAGCACATCAGAGGAATAGGAAAAAATACGCATGGTACCTTCACTCAATGCCAGTTTTCCGGAACCCTCTTATAAGGCAGGTGCTGTGCCAGGGGCTTCTGCTTGCATACTGGGGGTCCTGGCAAGAAACAGAAAGCATGTGAAAAATAGAAAATTTTGGAAGGATATAAAGATAGAGAAATTAAAAAATATGTGGGTATTGTGTAGAAACCCAAAGGGATTGTGTTATCTTACAGCTAGGAGGATTACAGTATCCTCATGTCCCCTAAGCTGGAAGGGCAAATGGAATTCAGAAATAGGGCTGGTTCCCAGGAATTCTAACTCAGTGGAAAGACACAGTAGTGAACAGCAACCCTTTAAAGCAGTGGTCCTCAACCATTTTGGCACCAGGGACCACTTTCATGGAAGACAATTTTTCCACAGATTGGGGGTAGGTACAGGAGGATGGTTTCAGATGATTCAAGAGCATTGCATTTATTGTGCACTTTATTTCTCTTATTATTACATTGTAATATATAATGAAATAATTATACAACTCATCATAGATTGGGGCTGAGGGAATAAATACTTTTCCCCACCTCTCCTTCTTCCATAACATCTCATGCTGTGGCTTTCTATTGGCTAAAGTCAACCACAAACCAAGGAGAAGGGAGCTCCTTGGTGCAGTGCATTAATATTTTCATGGACAGATCAGGATGGAGAAGGAGAGAAATCAACAAGAAAAGGTGAGTGCTGAAAATGCGTGCTTATCTGATTTCATTGCTCAGAAAGACTGGAGTAGATAGTGTAAGGCGGGATTTATAGCTGCAAACAACAGAAACGAACTTCTCCTGCTTAAGCAGAGAAGGATATTAGATCCTCCTGGGGCCTCCAGGACAGCAGGAGAGCCATGTCCAGGGAGGACACCAATGCTGCTCACTGTGGGCTTACATCGCAGACACACCTGCTCCAAGACTCCAGCTACTGCAGAAATTGCCTTCATGGCCAGAGATCCTTCCTCATAGATCTCTTTCCCTTGTTTTACCAGCTACTGATTCCAACCAGGGTATGTGCCTATGACTGGCAGACCTAGGTCTCTTGACTGAGTATTGCTGCAAAAGAGGGTAGAAGGGCGAATCTTGGGCATTATTAGCTTTCTGTAGAGGGAGCACTACCTCTCACAAGAATTTTAGGTGAGGAATTTCTCCAAAGTTAGAAACAAGGTTCTAATGGTGGATGGCCAAAAAGCATGCTGGATGCCTACCACACATAGATAAGTTTTATTAACTCTGTTTTCAGATGATGATCTGGGTTTCAGAGGGGCTAAAAACCCTGCCAAATGTATAGCTTTTGTTGGTAGTCAAAACCTCAAGTGCAGGTTTTGGCTCTTTCTAGTCTGTCAAAATTTCTCTCTTCTCTTCCAGATAACTCAATCTGATTTTCACTTTACTGATTTTTTTTCTTTTTGAGACAGCACTGGATATTTTTTTGAAAGTGCAAATGATTCTAAAATTGACTTGGATGAAGAAATGTATGAGAAAAACATTAAAAAAGAAAGAAAAAAAGAATAGCAAGCGAAATGCTTTCCCAGTATTAAAACATAATAGAATGCTGTTGTAATTGAAATAGCATGGGCATGGTGGGGCCCCAGCAAGAGACAGAAAGCACACAAAAAATAGGAAATTTGGAAGGATATAAAAATAGAAAAATTAAAAAATGTGTGGGTATTGTATAGAAAAACCAGAAGGGATTGTGCATTACCTCAGGGGTAGTAGGAGTAAAGTGTCTTCATCACTCCTACTACTGGGATATACAGATTAACACAATAGACTAGAAGTTCTAAAAATAGACCCACAGAAGTATAGCACTCAGTATGTGATAAAAGTAACATTTTAATAGTGAATAGATGAGAAATTTGTTGGGGCAACCTGCTGACCATTTGGTTTCAAAAAATTATGTCTTACACTAATTGAATTCAAAAGGCATTAAGTGTTTTAACATGAAAAATGAAAAGAACAAAAGAAAATATATGTGGATACTTTAATAATCTTGGTCTGTGTAAAGCATTTCTAAGTATGGTACCAAAGGCAGGAAGACAGAGAAAATGATTGCTAGATTAGAGTATGTAAAAATTAAAAATTTCTCCATGGCAATAACAACATAGACAAATAGTCACCTGGAAAAATACTTGCAAAGTATATGAAGGAAAAGGACTAATATTTGTGGTACGTAAAGAAAAAATTTCACAAAAGAAGGCATGAAGATGGATGATTAACATGTGAAAGTCTCTTATTATCTCCTTTACAGTAGTAATCAAATGAATTCACATTATAACAAAATTAGAAGAGATTAAAATAATTAACAATGTCCAAGGTAGGCACAGTGGGTAGGCAGGAGGATTTTTATTTTATACTATTCTGGTCACAGTCAAAATTAGATTAATGTTTCTAGAGAGTTATTTTGGTACTATATATACCAAAATTCCACTTCTAGAATTTTTTTTTTATCATAAAATAGTTCAACAAACACATAAACCACATAGGGATAAACATTACAGTGTTATTTATAATAGGAAAAATTAGTAAAGGAACAACTAAATATTCATAAACTGGGGATAGTTGAATGACTTATGTACATTTATAAAGTGGACTACTACTTAGCCATAGGAAGGCAAATATCTACCTATTGATACTAAAATATATCCATGATATATTTTTAGTTGGAAAAAAGCAGGGCATGAAGTACTATGAATAAAATATCTAATATTTGCAAGAAAAAATAAGCATATTTAGATGGTATCTCATTGTAGTTTTAATTTGCATTTTCTTGATGATTAGTGATATTGAGCATTTTTTCATATGCTTGTTAGTCATTTGTATGTCTTCTTTTGAACAATGTCTGTTCATGTCCTTTGCCCACTTTTTAATGGGGTTATGCTGAGATTTTTGAGTTCCATGTAGATTCTAGATATTAATCCCTTGTTGGAAGAAAACCTTGTGACTATTTTCTTCATTTTCTGTTCACTCTGTTGATGATTTCTTGTGCTGTGCAGAAGCTTTTTAGTTTAAATAAATTCTATTTGTCTATTTTTGTTTTGTTGCATTTGCTTTTAAGGTCTTAGTCATGAATTCCTTGCCTAGGCCATTATCCAGAAGAGTTTTTCCTGTATTTTCTTCTAGCATTTTTTTAGTTTCAGGTCTTATGATTAAGTTTTTAATCCATCTCGAGTTAATTTTTGTATTTGGTGAGGGGTAGGTCTAGTTTCATTCTTCTGCATATGGCTATGAAATTTCCCATCACCATTTATTGAATAGGATGTCCTTTTCCCAGTGTATGTTCTTGTCAACTCTGTCGAAGATCAGTTGGCTATAGATATGTGACTTTTTTCTGGGTTCTCTGTTCTGTTCCATTGATCTATGTGTTTATTTTTATACCAGAGCAATGCTGTTTTGGTTACTATCACTTTTTAGCATAATTTGAAATCAGGTGTAATGTGATGCTTCTAGCTTTATTCTTTTGCTTAGGATTGCTTTGGCTATTTGGGCTCTTCTTTGGTTCCATAAGAATTTTGGAATTGTTTTTTCTAATTCTGTGAAAAATGACATTGGTATTTTGATGGGAATTGCATTGAATCTGCAGATTGCTTTGGGCAGTATGGTATACTAATTAGAACAGCTATAATTAAAAAGTCAAAAAATAATGGATGTTGGCAAAGATGTGAAGAAAAGGGAATGCTTATACACTACTGGTGGGAATGCAAATTAGTTTTCCTCAATGCAAAACAATATGGCGACTTCTCAAAGAACCGAAAATAGAACTATTCTCCGATCTAGCAATCCCACTACTGGATATCTTCCCAAAGGAAAAGAAATCATTATATCAGAAAGATACCTGCATTCGTATGTTTATGGTAGCATTATACACAATAGCCAAGAAATGGAATCAACTTATGGATATGGAATCATCAACCAATGATAGGATAAAGGAAATGTGAGATATATATATATATATCCTCACAGATATATATATATATATAATCTATCTATCTATGTATCTATCTATCTATATATACTCTCATACTACTAAGCCATAAAAAAGAATGAAATCATGATTTTTGCAGCAACATGGATGGAAGTGGAGCGAAATAACTTAAGTGAAATAACTCAGAAACAGAAAGTCAAATGCCACATTTTCTCACTTATAAGTGGGAACTAAATAATGTATATAGATGGACATAGAGAATGAAACAATAGACATTAGAGATTCAAAAGGGTGAGAGGGAGGTGAAGGGTGAAAAATTACTTAATGAGTATAATGAACACTTTTCAGGTGATGGTTACACTAAAAGGCCAGACCACATCTACACGATATATTGATGTAACAAAACTGCATTTGTACCCCTAAATCTATAGAGCTAATTTAACAAAAATAGAAAAACCTGGAAAACTTATGCCCTAAAACTGTGATTGTCACCTGACTAGTCCCATCTTGAATGACTGTTATTTTGCCTTCATCCATTTCTGCAATTTCTAATTATTTTATGATAAGCACTGAGAAACATGAAAAATAAAAAGCTGTGTATTTTGTAAAAAAATGAAAAAATATATGTCATCATTAAGAAACATATAAAGACTGAACTTTCATGTTCTTATGCTACATGACTTTTGTAGTCTAACTGTGTGTGGGGGGTGGGTGAGTGGGAGTGTGTGTGTAAGAGGGTAGTAAGAAGCTAGAAAGGAGTGAGGAAGAGAGAAAGTGGGAGAAGATAGAGAGTGATTTGTCTTCATTTGCAATCCTCAGAGAACATGGAGGTAGGTGAATTGGCCATATGTCCTACTTTTTACCTGGAGCTGGTCCCAGTCCTGTGTGCAGCCTTCCAGTCACCTGGTCTAGAAGAAGGCTGTCCCATCCATTCTCCCCAGCCCTCTCTCCTCTACAGAAGTGCTAACATACTCAAGATGACCAGACACACACAAAGGAGGCAGAGGTGCATGCCTGAGGCTAGATAACCTTCTCTTTGATCACTGGATGTTAAACTGCTGTACTCTGGAGATGTGTTCATTTTTTAGTAGATCAGAATAGTCTTTGATGGCAAGTAGAAGAAAATGAGGCATTGGGGAAAGACTGTTGGGAGGATTA